AAAAAAAAAAAAAAAGCAAAAAGTAAAAAATAAATTAAAAGGTAGAATAAGAAGAGTGAAAAAAGGAGAACCGCTGACCTCCAGGACAAGTACCGAAGTCCTCAGCTGGACAGCAGAGGCCCTCAGAATGTGACTCCAAACTCTGCAAGGCCTATCTCAGCCACTGTGGGAGGAGGGAGACGAGGCTTCACCATTCCAGGCCTTTGCACATGCTGTTACTTCCATTTGAAATGCCATTCCCCACCTGGCAAACCCCTACCCATCCCTGAAGGCCCTGCCCAAAGCCACCTCCCCTGTGAAGCCTTCAGCAGCTCCACAGTCTTTTAGGCAAATGTAGTTCAAGACTGCATCATCCTTTGTGTATTAATCAGGGTTCCACCAGACAAACAGAATCAGTAGAAGATATATTAAGAGATTTATTGCAAGGAATTGGCTTACGCAGTTGTGGGGGCTGGTTACACACATCCAAAATCTGTAGGGCAGGCCATCAGGAAGGGCAGGCTGAAACTCTCTGGAATGAGCTGAAGCTGCGGTCCACAGGCAAAATTCCTTATTTTTTAGGGCAACCTCAGATCTGCTCTTTAAGGCATTTCAACTGATTAAATCAGGCCCACTTAGGTAATCTCCATTACTTAAAGTCAAATTGATTGTAGACATTAATCATTTCTACAAAATACTTTCATGGCAACACCTAGATTAGTATTTGATTGAATAACTGGGGATTAAAGCCTACACGAGTTGACACATCACACTGACCATCTCTATTAGTTTCCCAGGGCTGCCATAACAAAGTACCACCAACTGGAGGGCTGAAAACAGAAATTTATCCCTCACAGTCCTGGAGGCTAGAAGTCCAAAATCAATCGGTCATGTCGGCAGGGCCGTGCTCTCTCTGAAGGCTCTGAGGGAGAATCTTCCATACCTCTCTCCTAGTTTCTGGTGTTGCTGGCAGTCCCTGGCATTCTTTGGCTTGTAGATGCATCACTCCAATCTCTGTCTCCACCATCACATGGCGTTCTTCTGGTGTGTGTCTGTCTCTGTGTCTCTTCTGCTCTTCTTCTAAGGACACTAGTCATGTTGGATTTGGGCCCATGCTAATGACCTCATCTTAACTTGATTACATTTGAAAGTCTTTTCTAAATAAGGTCACATTCACGGGTACCAAGGATTAGGACTTCAACGTATCTTTTTGGGGGACACAATTCAATCCATCACATCATACTTTGTTACAGTACTTGGTACACTGGATTGTGTTTAGTTAACACCCTGGCCTTGCAACAAAAAGAATTAAGGGACTTAGAGTATGAACTGTGGTTACTTTCTGATCCCAGAGCTTGGTACGGTGTCAGACACACAGTACATGCTCAATTAATGGCTGGCTTTGTGTCTCACACTTACTTCCATACGCACCTGTCTGAACTCACTGGGGAGGCATCTGATGGAAGGCAACCTGGTCAAGTGCCGGGAGAAGTCACTCCCAAAATGAAACAAACATGAATTCTTCAGATCTCTTGCTGAGAGGGCCTCAGTGGTAATCTAATCTGGGAGTTTTCAAAATCTGCTCCCAGAAACCCCAGGGGACCACCCAGGAGCGTGAAAAGGAGGCTTCAGGGTGGAGCTCCGGTTCTCCTCCCTGGAACCACAGCAGTGACACGTTCATCTGTTTATACTGTGAGCTTCCTTGTTGGATGGCAGCACCCTCCTCCCTAACTACCAGGGGAACTGGTAACAAGGCGAAAGGAAGTGTGCTGTCCAGGCCCACCGCTGGTCAGTGACAGAACAGGAAATAGAACGCAGTAAGAAGATGTGGCAGAGACTGCTGGGTGTCTGCCAATTTCCATTCTTCTCTTCTTTCTTAATGGTAGAACCCTTGATTTTTTATTTCTTTGTTTCTCTGGGCACATGGTCTCCAGAATAAAGATTAGATTTCCCAGCCTCCTTTGCAGCTAGGCATGGCCATGTGACTGTGTGTGCAGCCAATGGGCTATAAGTGGGGTGTCAGATGGGGCTTCTGAGTAACATCTTTAGAGGAAACTTCCTTACCCTTCCTTCTTCCTGCTGGCTGGATTGTGGATATGAAGACTGGAGCTCAAGCAACCACCTTGGGTCATGAGGCAAGTCATGCACTGAGAATAGTGGAACAACACGGCAGAAGGAGCCCCTTCTGAACCAGTCCTGATGGCCTCCTTCCAGGCTTTGTTTACGTGAGAGAGAAATAAACTTCTATCTCGTTTAAGCCACTGTTTCTATGGGTTTTCTGTCCCATGCAGCCAAATCTAGTCTTCACTGATACGGAGGATTAATTGCAAGAGAATTCCCCCCAAATCTGGTTCTGGCAGTGTGGTAGTTTTAAAACAAGTCTGCAAATTATTTAATTCTCCCTCACCTTGAATCAGGACAGACTTGTAACTGCTTCAACCAATAGAATATGGTAGAAATGAAGCTCCGTGACTTCTCAGGCTAGATGTAAAAGGCCAGGAAGCTTCCACCTTGTTCATGGGATCACTGTTCCTGGAGCCTTGAACAGCCAGGGAAGAAATCCAACCATCCTGGTACCATGACGCTGGAGAGGCCACAGGGAGATGCCCAGTCCACAGTGCCAGCTGCACCCAACCTCCCGCCAGCCCAGGCACCAGGCGGGGGAGTGAAGACCATCTCCTCCCTAGCCACTCAAGTCACCCCAGCCATTCAGATCACCTCAGCTGTGGTTCCACACACCGTGGAATGGAGAAGAGAGGTGCTCTCTTCAAATTCCCGACCCACAGAACCCATGAGCATCATAAGATGGTGGTTGTTTTACACCATGCAGTTGGGGATGGTTTGTTACCCAGGAATAGATAATGGGAACAAATGGATGATTTCAATCAACATTTCTCATTCAGGAAACATTTATGGAGCATCTACTCTATGCCAGGTGCCATGCTAGGGACTAGGCACACTATAATGAGCAAGTGTCAAAGATCAACAAAGCCGGGCACTAGTTCAAGTGGTCAGGACAGATTC